TCAGCAAGACAAGGTCTTCTTCCTGTGGGAGAAACTGGAACCAAAGGAACTTCTGGTACAGAAAAACTGGAACCCAAAATTTTTCAGGAACAAAGGAACCTGGATCCACAGGATACTCAGGAACAGCAGGAACAGGAAACTCAGGAACAGCAGGAGCAGGAAACTCAGGATACTCAGGAACGGCAGGAGCTGGAACCACAGGAAACTCAGGAACAGCAGGAGCTGGAACCACCGGATACTTGGGAACAAAAGGATCTGGAACCACAAGGAAGCCACCTTTGAACAACATAGATATTTCATGCCGAATAAATTCAGAAACATTTTTTGTTTCCAGGCAATGCAGTATGCTGGTATTGCTGTCCTCAAAGCAACCTAGCAAATGAACAAATTCAAGAGATAACCGATTGGCTACTTCCAAGACCAGAAAGCATTGGCTGTTCCACTCTGGATCACTGCTTGGGCAAAAAGGTCCTGGCTTTTTGGCGCAAGAAGATGGAAATTCACAGAAGATCCTCCAGCACTCTCGCCAAAAATGCCTTTGGGGAAAGGGTCTCCCCCAAAGGCAGCTGCATTCTCTTTTATCCACTTCAGGGCCAGCTGTTGGTCCCATAAGCCTAGGTTCCCTGGAGCAGCTTCTGGCAAGTAAAGAAAGCCTAGGGCTCCCAGGCGATAATTGATGGAGACCACAATGACATTCTCAGTGGCAGCTAAGGAGGCCCCGTTGTATATGTCCAGAGAAGATGAGCCCATGAAATATCCCCCTCCGTGTATCCAGACCAAAACAGGCACTGGTGAAGGACGTTGTGGGTGGGGCACCCAGATGTTGAGGGAAAGGCAATCTTCTGAAAGTGGTGTTTTAGGAGTAAATGTCTCTGCTTCAGGGACATCCCGGAAAATAAATTGAAGACAGGAATTGCCAAAGCTGGTGGCCTCCAAAGTTTGAGTCCATGGCTGATGTGGAAGAGGTTTCTGGAAGCGCAACTTCCCCAGGGGATGCTCAGCATAAGGAATGCCTAGATAGGCTGTCACAGATCCAGAGCCAGCCAGGAACTGCTTGCCCTTAATAGGGCCACTGCTGGTTGTGACCACTGTGTCCCCATTAGAAGCAGAACTGGAGGCTAATGGAAAGAGGAGGAGGAGGAGGAGGCAGCACCGGAGAGAAGGGCATAGCTGACAAAGCATTGCAACAGTAGGAAGAGTGGATGGACCTGGAAAAAGTTACAACCAATATGAGATTATTCCTCTTACTGTATAAGCCCACCTTA